TAAACCTTCTCCACAAAGGTCATCGCTTGGAAGCACTTGCAGGTTCCTCAGGACACCAGGCTTCTGGGGAGCTCTTGGCTTCCAGCTCACTGGGGGTCTGGACATGCGCTGCGTCATACTGGTGCGGCTTCGTAGGTTTAAGGTTCCGGGTGAGTGACCGTGTGCTTGAGAGAAGCGCCGTGCCAAAACCATTTCCATTTCAAAGGGGGAAGAAAAGATCCCGGTACCTCAGGTATTCTTGACTAAGAAAGAGAGGTGAGTTTTACTGGAGGCCAGGTAGGTGTGTTTCTCAGAAATTCCCTTGCGTGGATTTCTTAGCCGTGTGTTTTTGGCACTTGCTGCGAGTGGATCCACCTGGAAGGACGGAGGGCGTAGGAACTGCCCGGGCTAATTGGGCAGAGGTGCTGTACGCACGGATACATCCCAAGAAACCAAGTCCTCCGTGGGGGCAGGGGTTGCCGTTGGGATTGGAGTGCATCGTACGGGTGATAAAATCCCTTTTTAAAAAGGAGGGGGTTTGTAAAAGTGGTTTAAATGAAAATGTTTTAAAAATCAAAGTGAACCTTGAGAGAGGCTTTTTACCGTTTTATTGAACTTCAGGCACAGAAAGTCTGGCTTGCCAGGCTGCTGTTAGAATAGTTCAAACTTTTAAGAACTGATCTCTTTTAATTAATAGACCTTCCAATTAAAAAATTCCTATATGGTGGCAGCACAACTGTTTCTGTCCCTCGACTGGGGCTCTCGGGCACTCCTGCGGAGTAATTACCAGTAGTACCGGCAGTTTGCTGGGTTCTTCGGGTGGCTTTTGTGAGCAGGGTCCTGTGGGGTGCTCTTGGTCAGGGTGCTGTGGAGGAGGTTGGCTCGTTACCCGTTTGCTGATCCTTAAAGGGCATTTTTAAGGGCAGGCCAAGGGGGGAGAACCGAGCCCCAAACTCCCGCGCAGTGCCCATTTGGTGCCCGTTTGCCGTAGCTGCCCCCTGAGCGCCGTCGGGCCGTGTCTGACCGCGGGGGGTCCCCGCAGGCGCTGGGACAGAAGTGCTGTTTTCTGTCCTTGGGCAGGCGAGCCTCAGCATCCAACAGTGCGTGCCAGACCGTAACTGGGAGCTTTGTCTTCCTCTCGGTGACCTCTGGTGTGTTGCCTACAAACTCCGGGTTGTGATTCCTCGTTAAGCGCTTCTCTGCCAGAGAAATTAAAGTTTTCAGAGATGCATTGTGGGTTTTGGAGATGCTCAGGACTGGGCATGGCAACCTGATCTAATTAGATCTACTTTGACTAGATTACTTTTAGCAGTCTCTGCCAGTATAAATTATTCTATGATTCTGTCATTAATGCGGGAATTAATAAAGGACATGTTCTGTTTGGATTCTGCAGAAATAGAATCTTCCTTTATAACAAGCTCAGGACACTCATCCCACTAGGTGTAATCACTGCTCATGCTGTAGATTTTCTGCCTTAAAACTGCAAGCGAAACTGGCTTGTGCCGGACCGCGGCTCTCCCCATTATTTGTCCCTATTTGTGTCGGTCCCTTCTGTCAAAGCGCTTGGATCTGCTGCAAAATTATCCCTCTGTAAGGACAGTGAAAGCAAAATATATACAAATTCCTGAGCAGTTTTGAGCCGAGAGAGTGAGCAGCTCTCAGGCAGGGTAGGTTTGTGTGTGTATGTAACTTTGTTTGCTTTAAAACCAAATTATCTGTGCAGACTCTCTCCTCTTCCTGGATGAAGAACGATAATACCTGCCTTCACAAACAGGCATTATGTGCCATTCTTAGAAACTACAGTCCATGATTTCCTGAAAAAGCCCTTCTCTGAGCAGCCTGTTCCAACATACAGCTTGTGCTAGAGCTGCGTCAGAAAAAATATCCGCTGTGAAATTTGATCTGTCTTCAGATAATGTGATCGATTTTTCTTTTGCTTATTATTCTTTTCTGTGCTGAAACTGATCTTGGGAAGCTGGATGAGGTGGGGCAGTCACGTGTTCTTTGTTGATACCGAGTTGTGCTTAAAAATTAAAATTGCTAAGTCATCTGAGAGAGAGAGAGAGGTTCAGTTAATTCCTACACAGGGAGTACGGGGCAGAGGAAATTAGCCAGTGCACCTCCTGCCAGAAGCACATGGAATGAGGAGGAACAAAACCACAGTGATTAAACTTCAAAATCTAATAAATTTCACTGTGCTGAAAGCGTTCAGTAAACTCGCATGCTCTGTCAGTGCCCAGTATGGTTTTGGGTGACACATCTCACTTCACAGTGTCTGAGTCATGCCCCAGCAAGGGTTTGAGGTCTGAAATGATTGCTGCCCAGTCTTCTGAAAGTGTATTTTGTTAGGGGACTAACATTCTGTGCGGGAATAGACTATTTTTAATTTTTTTTTTAGTAATACTTCATATTCTTCCATTAGCCGAACACCTGGCTGAAGTGCCCCATCCTTCCTTTGCTGGGCTGAGCCTCGGTCGCACCTCTGTGGTGGGCTCTGGGACAGTTGCCGTGTCCCTTTTTACCCTCGGGGCTGGCTGCTGCGACCCTGGCTACCTGGGGCTGCCTTCAGCACCGTTTGTGTGTCAGTGGGTCAAAAAATAACCCGCTCTGCCAAGGTCCTGCCCCCTGAGGAGGCTTAGGCCGCGCCAGAAAGAGACCTCGCGCACGTTCCCGCCTCCGGGCGCGGAACCAGCTGCTGGTCGAGCTGTGTGCCACGGTGAAGGACATCGGACCTGTGTCCCCCAGGTCCTCCCCCAGCTTCGTAGCCCGTGGTCCTTGCAGCAGGCTGGAGTGCTGCAGACCTCCAGTAAACGACAGGGCGCTGCCGATGGAGCAGGGGTTTGCTTCTGCAAGTCTTGACCTACCCTGGTAGCCTGAGCCAGCTGTTCTGAGCGGATTTCTTGGTCTTTCTGATTAACAAGGGCTGTTGCTCCCTCCTGCAGTCCAGCAGCTGCCCGTTTGCTGAGGAGGGTTCAGATCAGCGCAGCAAATAAACACATGACGTTCGTTTGGATGACGGTGTTGCCGCCGAGCGAGCCTTTCTCTACACGGGGCTGGGCAGTCTCTGCCCGATGCTGGGCACCAAACAATTCTCTTTCATGCTCGGGTACGGCTTCCTTCCTTCCGAGTTATTTTGAAAGCTGACAAAGAGATCCTTGTGCTTAAATGTTAGGAGTGTGTCAGCTTTCACTCGTGGTGAAAGACGGGAGAGGTGCAAAAGCACTGCTTTTGTTTTAGGCAGGAAAATACTTTGGTATGAAATTATAGTAAGTCACTGTTGTCTTAAATATTCAGAAATTAGAGTCTTTGACCTACAACAATCTTTTGAGTTATTTTGACTATATTTGACTTTTGAACAGTGGTAAAATTTCAGAGTAGTTTTGCTAAAATCACACTGTAAGGAGGAAGAAGCAGAGGTGCTTACGAAATCCTTTGGCCAAGCAGAATCCAGAGAAACATCTTTAGACTCTTGCAGCGATATTTTCCTTTTGTGTTTGGGTAAAGCATCGTAATCCAACACAGATGCCACTGTCTTTTGGAGAGTTGAATTTAATGTCTTTGACTGTAGAAAGCTGTGACCAAACCTGGAGCCCCATCCCGGCAGAACTCTTCTGGCTGCCTCGGTTTGGCGTGAAGTCTTCGAGCCTCCTCAAGCCGCTTAATCCCTGAATGGTTTGTCATGGCTGGCCTCTGTGAAGTCTTCCCAGTGTCCGTCCTTGTCTCGCTGCTGGTTTTCCTCATGATACTCTAATTAGGGTGGATGTAGCTTATCACTGTAGATGTCCTGCATCTCCTGGAGACTGCTGGTGTCTGTGCTGGGACCTAATTGCGTTGGACCGCGAGCTGCTGCTGTTGTCCTCGGGTCAGCCCGGAGAGGAGGCGCGGCGGCTGCCTGCTCTGCAAGTCTTGCTCGCTTTCAAGTGAGGGTTCTATGTAGAAGGTGCCTGTTGTGAGGTGGTGGGATGAGATGTCCGTGCGGGAGGGCTTGAACGGGGTAGCAAAAGCCGCCTTCAGAATATGTGGAGATGGGAAAAATTGCGGTATGAAAATCCCCAGAGTGATGTCCAGACTTCAGCAGTTTTATCTTGGGATGTAACGTTTTGGTCCTGATTCCTTTCAGGTGAACACATTTAAATTTGTATTTTGTGGGGAAAGCAGCAGGGGTGATTGTGTTGAAAGGCCGCTGAGCTGTTTTAGACAAGCCTGTACAGCAATATAGGGGTGAGCGGGTGCTTGAAACTGAGAAGCTCTGAGAGTGCCTGGATTTCTCTGCTCCTCCAGGAGCCTGCTCCTGAGCTGACCAGCCTTGCTTTGTGCAGAAATGCTTCGGTTGGTGCCTGCATTTTCCAGCAGACAGAAAGGGCAGAGTAGTGAGGGATCAGTTCAGGGTTTATTTCCTTTCCACAGAATGAATCAGCGTAGCACAGAAACCTTCCTGTGTGAGCACATGGGAGGTGTCAGTCCTTCTACGAATTGCAAGTAAATCCCAAAGTTCTGATTTAAATGGAGATTGGTGTTTCTAGAAGTTGAAACTTCAGAAAGTTCTTAATTTAGGTTGGACAGGTGACCTGTCAGCTGGGTTGGCAGCATCATTTGTTCGTGCAGTGCGAGAGGGGATAGTTGTGCAACCTCGAGTCCACCAAGTGTTTTGGTGACGTGGGATGGCACAGGGTGGGGACAGATTTCAGCCAGTGGCTGTTGCCTTCGCTCTGGAGCTGAAAGGAAGGAGCAAGGCTGCAGATAGAGAGCACGTTGCATTTGGAGGGTTATCTTTGCAACCCTGAGTTGGAAACTACACGCTGGAAGTTGCAAGGTGTGTGTAGGGGGGTGTTACGTTGGCTCGCAGGGCCAAGTGGTCCCGTCCTGCGTGAGGGAGAGCAGGCAAATTGTTTCTAAGCTCTGACAAATGACCCCAGGCCTGTCGCTGGGATCCAGCCTCTCCTCCTCAGCAGCTTTTAATGATTAACTTCAATATTTTTATGGTATCTTGAGTTTTTAACCTCTGGTTTATTTTCTGTCTGCAGGTGGAAGAATCTGAGGCCTCTATCCTCTGTCCAGCTTTGCGGTTCGGGTAGCCTCTGCTCTCAGGCATCTCATCATTCCCGCCTGCCAACCTGTCTGATATGTCGGGACCCGTGCCGAGCAGGGCCAGAGTTTACACGGATGTGAACACACACAGACCCCGGGAGTACTGGGACTATGAGTCGCACGTCGTCGAGTGGGGGTAGGTCTCTGGGCTGCTTGTGGATGCCCCTGGACCAGCGTCGATCCCCGCAGGCTCTGGTGTCGTGGGGCCTGGGCGGAGTTCAGGCCCCTGTGCTGCATTAGGCTTTTTTGTGCTCCTTGGTCGATGTTTAGTGTGCATGGCAAGTGGTAGGAGCACGACTTCTCTTCAGAAAAGTGTTTGTTGTCAAAATTTTTAAATCCCCAGCAGTGCAAGAACGTTTTTAGCAGCTCCCTTAAGAGTTTGGTTTTGAAGAATTTTTGCCAGGTAGTCAGAAAACTTGTCCTTTCAGAGGACAAAAAAACCTTGATCTGAAACAGCCTAACCAGCCCGGGGTGTGGGGCTGAAAAGAAGTGAAAAGGCAGCTGAAGTCGCTCCCGCCTTGGGCGAGTGAAGAGGCTCAGCAGGCCTGAGTGGGCACTTGCTGTTTTGTGATTTGTTGCTCGGCGCTCTGAGTGCCTGGACAAGGCACGTCTGCTGCTTTTTGAAGGAAGGAGGTGTCTAAATGGAGCTCATGACTAAACTGTCCCAGAATCAGACAGCAGGGATGCCAGCTCTGCCGTCCTGCTGTTGTGTTGCAGGGCCCACACGAAGTTCTGCCCTCGGCTTTGTGGCCGTTCCTGGTTTCTGAAATGGGCAGAGCCTGCCGAGCGTGAGCGCTGGCCTGTGCCTGGTCTGCTTTTAAACAGGCTCACACTTTAGCTTTTGGTCTTCCTGGCTTTGTGGATTTCTTAACAGCATTATACAGGTTAAAATGTAGCTTCCAAATATAGAGAGAGCAGCAGAAGGGGTAGCTCAAGCTTGCTGAGGCTGAAATGTGCATCTGGGCTTATGTTACCCACTGCAGAAGAAACAAGTTCTGGATTGAATCCAACTTGGGCGAGTAGAAGCTTCCTGTTTCTTTCCTAATTCTCAGTCGTTGCCTTCAGGAGGCGTAAGCCCCTTGTTAATCCCCCTCGTCTGGAAGGTGAGGCAGTGATGTCGTGTTAAGGAGCAGTTTGTAATTTGTGATGGAAACGGCTGAGCTCTTTGGAACTCTTGACTTTTTGTCTCCACAGAAATCAAGATGACTACCAGTTAGTTCGAAAATTAGGCCGAGGCAAATACAGTGAAGTATTTGAAGCCATCAACATTACAAATAACGAAAAAGTAGTTGTTAAAATTCTCAAGGTGAGCTGGGGGTTGGGCAAAGGTGATATCTGTCTTGAGGTGGTTGGGAGGCCAGAAAGTGCAGCATTTAGTCTAAAAAGTCCCGTGTTCTAAAACTGAAATCCTGGAAGTCTGGCTTTGGAGTGTCATTTCGATGACATGGGCCATCATCTTGAGCCTCCTAGTAGGAGCCCTGCGCCTGGTTATTCAGTCAGATCTCTGCCTGTAAGGAATTAGCCTCTGTCTTCGAGAAGTCCTGATGTGCAACACATTTTTACTTGGAGCTAAGCAACGCTTCAACAGCTGACTAGAAAATTCTCACCTCCTCTGACTACCAGCGCCCTGGCGCGCCGTCGTGTGCCGAGAGGCCTGTGAGCTGATGGGATCGTTGTCTTTTAAAGCCGCTGATGAGATTTAGGGACTGCTAACCTTAAAATTCTCATTTCTACTCTGCATGGGCCATTCTGGATGTAACCTCCTTCCAGGCCGAGTCAGGGTCTCCTGGATGCTGGTTATTCCACGGCCTTGATTGGTGAAATACCTTCCTTTAGTGGCCCTGGGAGAGCTCATGGCTTCTCATAGTTACACGTTTACCACCTGCCAGTGAAGAAGTTTGGGACTATCACGTCCTGTTCAGACAGCTTTAAAAACAATAAGAAATCTTCCTAACCCTCTTCACGTGACACCAATGTTTGTAGCTGTCAGGGCTGTACGGTTAGAAAGGAGACTGCAGGTGTTTGAGCCCCCACTGGAATGAGGCACAGTCCAGTAACAGCAAGGTGGAGCTGTGTGAACTTACCTTGCCAAGGCTCCCCTGTGGTTTGCTGGCTTGCAGTCACCTACCTCTGTGGTCTGGATGTTGGGCTATTGGCCTCGCTTTACTGGAGTGCTTTGTCTTACACTTCGGGTTTTTGTTCTTCAGCCTGTTAAAAAGAAGAAAATCAAGCGTGAAATCAAGATCTTAGAGAATTTGCGAGGCGGCCCCAATATAATCACTCTTGCAGATATAGTGAAAGATCCCGTGGTGAGTACGGGAGGGGCGTAAAGGGTGCGCTGGGGTTATGGGTGAAGTTGCTGTGTTTGACTTCAGCTCTGATCTGGCGGCTTGTTTTCCCCTGCTCTTCTAGCCTGCTTTTGAATTGCTTAATCAGATCAGCTTTTAATCTGATTAACTTCCTTGAGAGGGCCCTTCCCCCACAGGTCCCTCCAGCCCCTCGCTCTGTGAGGATGAGATACCAGTGAACGGAGACAAGTTAATTCATTCTACAAACAGCGCTGCCAGGGGCTGCGGGCTTTGGCTCTGCTTTCTCTGTCCGAGGGGAATCATCAGGCTGGCTGAGGCAGAGGGGCTTCTAGCAGTTTTAGGAGTAAAAATGGTTTAATTCATTATCCTAAAGGAAAACGTATTATCTCAACTCAACACGGCTGAACACTTTTCTCTCTGTTTTAGTCTCGGACACCCGCTTTGGTTTTTGAACATGTAAACAACACAGACTTTAAGGTACAGTGTGGGGTGTGAACTGGGAGTGTTTTCCATTTGAAAGACACTCGTAATGCTTTTCTGGGGGAAGGCAAGTGCACAGCGGGCAGGTTATTTAATCGTTTCCTTCCAACGTAGTAACTGACTTTAGAGGTAAATGCACTTGGGACAGAAGTTTGTAACTAGTCCTTTAGTACCGTTTTGCCACGGAAGTTACAAGATGAGAGTCCAGATTCTGTCCTTCAGAGCAAATTAATCTGTCATCTTGTGGACCACCAGCGCCTGTTGGAAACATTTTTGTGTTCAGTGTGTAACTATTTGCTTGAACCACTTTAAATGTGGACAGCTGTTTCTGTGGCTTTCCATACTGCTGGGAAAAGGGATTTAAATGTTTCTTTGTCCCCTTCCCTGCTGACCTGTCTCAGGAGGTGCCGTGCCAGCTGCGATAGCTGCTTAATGTTGCAGAGCACCCTCGGTCGTTTTGAGACCCGGGCGTAGTGCATCGTGCTGGTGGTGGGCGAGTGACAGGAGCCAGAACTGTCTGAGCAGAGCTGGAAGTGAACTGTGTGATTTGTAAGGGGGGAGGAACAGACTGATCAGTCGGGTGTGGGGTCAGAGTAACTTGGGAAACTTTTCCTGTTCCTTCACATGGGTTTGGAGAACCGCAGTGGCAGCGGGGAGCAGGGCTGGGTGGTTGGTAATGGCAGGGATGGGGTGTTGTTCTTGGGTGTTGAACACTGATACGATGTGTTTGTGTCCCACAGCAATTATACCAGACATTAACAGATTATGATATTCGATTCTACATGTATGAGATTTTGAAGGTAAGTTGGTGTTTTGCTGTTTGTTTGTTGTTGCTGGGACCTCCCTTGGTGAGGGGGCTGTAGAGGTGTTTTCTGTGGTCCACGAGTCTAGCCCAGGTTGTAACCCTAAACAGTAAAGTCTTGCTCTCTAGTTAGGCTTGGTACGTGTGGAAATACTTCTGGATATGGTTGAACTGGAAAAGCTGTTGTGACTCCAGCATCTGTTTCTTTGTGCATCCCCTGCAGGCCCTAGATTACTGCCATAGCATGGGAATCATGCACAGAGATGTCAAACCTCACAACGTCATGATTGACCATGAGCACAGAAAGGTGACGTGGGGCGGGGGAGGGCGGGGGGAGGTTCTCCTGTTCCCTTGGCAAGCTAGCATCCCTTTGGGGCGCTCCTCTGTAGCGGTACTAGCAGACATCTTCGAGGGGGACTGCGCTTCCTTCGTGGGGAGAAATGTAAACTGAAGTTCTGTACGCTGCCTTTCTGAAGTTTTGATGGGTCACAGGTAACCGTGAACAGGGCTGGTACGGAGAGGTGCTTTGTTTGGTCCCGTTAGTGATACGGGTTGGGGCAGAACATCTAAACAGATACTCTGATCAACTTCAAATTCATTAAAAGTAGAAGACTTGTAAACAAAGCTTCAGACTAAGCTCACCTGTAGCATCATTCAGCCAGTGGAGAGCTGGAGCATCCCTTGAGCCTTCTTTCTTTGTTTTCTACCATTTCTAGCTTAGGCTAATAGACTGGGGTTTGGCTGAATTCTATCACCCTGGCCAAGAGTACAATGTCAGAGTGGCTTCCAGATATTTCAAAGGACCAGAACTCCTTGTAGATTATCAGGTAAGAATTACCAGGGTTTATCCCTGACTTTTATCTGGGAAGTCTGTGCCATTTCAAGGTAGCAAACCAGAAATTCAGATATCTAGAGACCTGGAGCTAAAGACAGTCCGTTCTGAAATGTGTCACGGAAAGCAGTGGCTGTAGAGCCACTGAATTAAACTAATGAGTATTCTGAGGACCTGAAGAAGAGCCGCAGAACTGTCATCCTGGATCTTGGAATACGAACGTTGAGTATTTTTTTTACCAAGGCTGCGTTTGCAGTAAGGTACAGGAGCGAAACAAAGCCCCTGTGGCAGTAGCTAGTACTGCAGGAACTTCTAAATTAAGCTGTAAAAACATCCCCGGCTCTGACGGCAGGTTGCTGTATGGAAATGCTGTGGGCTGGGAATAGCAGCGTTACTGGAGACTTCCAGAGCGGGCTGGTTCTGGATGAAGGCCCTTCCTCACCTGCCCGTGTGCCCTGTGGAGTCGCCTCCTTTTGTGGCTCCTTGTGGCGCTTCCCTTCGCAACGATTCGTAACGTTGAAGGCTGCAGTGGAAGCAGAAGGCGGCCCTGGTCTTCAGAATCCTTATGGACAAGGATGGAAATAGGATACCTGCTGTTCTGCTCATTGCTGTATCCTAGTTTGCCTAACTGGAACGCTGAGCTGAACAGTGGTCTAGTGAGGAAGGGGCATGAAGGCATTTCAGTCTGTTCCCAGCGTAATGTGCCCGTGGTTTTATCGCAGGGGGGAGGGGGGGGGACCCTGTTAGTATTGGGAGCCTGTTCTGCTTGATTCATGAGAAATTGAATTGTCCTTCTGGTTTTGTACAGATGTATGATTACAGTCTGGATATGTGGAGCTTGGGTTGCATGTTGGCTAGTATGATATTCCGAAAGGAGCCGTTTTTCCATGGCCATGACAACTATGATCAGGTGAGAGCTGGTCATGTACGGTCTCTGTTCTCTTGGCGCAATGCAGGTTTCCTGCTCACACTCCTGTCGAGGGAGCCGAAGAGGAATTTCAGCATTTCTCTAAGGGCTTCTTCGCTCGGTTGGAAGCCACGTTCCTTTTCTCAAGTGTGCGAGATTACCTAACCAATTAAGTAGATTTATAGTGCTTTGTACTTACGAGCTCCTCAGTAGATAGCTGGAAAAAGTTCTAGCCGTAGTTCTGTCAAGGCTGGTGCATTCTGGTACATAGATCGGCCGTTCCTGAGGTGGTGGTATGTGGAAAGCCCCTGCCACTGTCCACCCTGCCTCCCCTCTGTATAGCAGCCGTGGATTTGGTACAGTTTTGTATAGATTCTCAAATCTTTGATGTGCTGCCTTTAGGCCAAAGCTTTAATACTTTAACCTGTGCTCTGCATCTTGAACTAACGTGCAGATGTTCAAGAACAGCGACCTGCTGTTCTCAGACCTTCCTTCTGGAGCCCTCCAGGGTGGGACTTCGCCCTTCCCGTGCAAGTTAACAGTTTCGGCTTTTCTGACCAGTTACTCCCTGTTGGCTTCATGTAGTTTCTTGCTGCAAAGGGAGGAAGCGGTGCAAGGTCTCGGGCTTTAGTGGCGTCGGGGCGTGCAGCCCCCCGGCGGCTGCCTGGGGCTCCAGCTGTGAGCAGAGGCACGTTCATGGTGCCTGGGAGGGGACGTGGCCGGGGAAGTCGGAGCCATGGGATGACCCTGTGGCTGCTGGTTCAGACCCCTGAGATGAAGTTCAAGCTCCCAAGGGAATGTGCTGCTCTATCTTCACGCTGGCTCTGGCATTACCGTCCCCCCGCAGCGGCAACTGATCTTTCTGTTTGCCCCCAGCTGGTGAGGATAGCCAAGGTGCTGGGAACAGAAGACCTGTATGACTACATCGACAAATACAACATCGAACTGGATCCGCGTTTCAATGACATCTTGGGCAGGTGAGCCAAGGTCCACAGTAGCTCATAAGCTCGTGAAAATCTGGGCAGTGCTGCTTTGTCAACGGGCCTTGCAGCAAACGAAAACTTAGGCTTATGGGAGAAATCAGAGCCAAGATTCTTGAGAACTGTCACTTTGTACCTTTGATCCCTTTTGCCAGTGCTTCCCGTGGTGCCTTATCTGCAAATGGACTTGGGGAAAGGTTGTTAAATGTCATCTAGGCAATAAATGAACCGCCAGAGCGTAGAGCATGACGGG